TATATATATATATATATACATATATATATATATATATAAACAACTCAAAATTCGGTTCCGTGGGAACCGAATTCTGAGAAGAAAAAAAAGAAAAAAAAATATTGAAGGTCAGAATTCGGTTCCCGGGGAACTGAATTCTGACCATGAACAGTAAACCGTTCTACTCTGGTAAATAAACTTGCACAGGTGTCATTTTTGTATTTTTTCTTTTAAAAAATATTATTTATGTAAAATTTCCGTTGACTTGAGTGTCCAAAACAACCAACAATATTTTTTTTAATTGGACACCTAGTTAGAGACTTTTTTACTGAATTAAATTTAAAAAAAAAACCAAAATAACACTGTTTACACTTTAATTCTCTAACTAGCACCATTTACTGTATGGGAAATCAAATTCTAACCTTGTACCGGAGGGATCGTATCGGTCACGTGAACCAACACGTGTAGTCCCGTCAGACACCCAAGCATATTGAATCACGCCCATATGAACCTTGACGTTAGAATCGACTCGGCATGCAGCTGAAGGCCGAGAACAGTCTACTAGCAATTATCGGTTCGGTTTCAGGCCGATACAGACAAAACCACCCATCAAATCAGCTCGACCGAATGCCGAACGAGTGAAATACCCGAGTAAAGCATATGTCGGTCTGGTCAACAGCCGAAGACGTACAGCTTCCCAGTTCTTGATTTGTCGGCTCGGCCACTCGCCGAAAGGTAGAACGGATTATAATGCTAATCACGATTAAGAAAGGTAAACACATGATTTGGGCCTAACAACCGATTAACATCGTATTACTTAATTTGGTAAACATCTGAGAAGGCCCACCATGACTAGACCCACGTCAAGTACTATAAGTAGGTCACACATAACGATGTATGTCACTGTTTATTAATTATCCTAGAATATCGTACTTGTCCTGACTTGAGTGTCGGAGTGCCTTTTGCAGGTATCTCCCCCCTCTGAAGAATCCGTTTGAAGTATCCGTTCGTCCCTTCTTACCAAGAAGACTACGAGTGTACCCTCGAGCAGGTACAGACCTTGTACAGTAAATGGTGCTAGTTGGAAAATTAAAGTATACAAGGTGCTATCTTGGTATTTTAAAAAAAAAATTAATTCAGTAAAAAATTCCCTAGTTAGAAGTGTGTAACAAGTGTCGGACTAGTGTCTAGGAGTGTCCGTGTTAGAAATGTGTCTACTTAAAATGATCAAGTACTCCTCGGAGCCGTGTGTTTCTAGGCCTAAACTACCCTGGGAGAAGAATCAGCAGGCATAAATTTCTATGCACACTGAATAAAGAGGAGAGAGCCGATTCCTAACCTTGTGCACCAAGTAAATCTTGATATGTTTGCTGAGTATTGAGACACAGGTGTCATCTAGTTTCTTTCTGCATCTCAGAACTTGAGAGGTCTTTTTTTGCTCTAGTCTACAAGAAGCGAGTGATCATTTCAGTGCAAGTTACCACATGTCAGTTATTAATTAAAACCATTCTCATAATCTAACTCTTCCTGTAAAATGTATGCTTCTTCCCTCATCAAACCAAGCAACCCTTCCAGCAATGCATAGATCTCATCAGATCTTCCATTTGACACATCCTTGGCAATGAAGCTAAGTAACCCTCCACTCGTTTCAATCCAACTACTTCCGCGGACCTTTTGTAATCCAATATCTTTCATTCTTTCCCTCACCTTATCAGCTTGTTATGAATATAAATTGGCCATAATTACGTAATTCCCGGTATTTTCAGGCTCCATCTCAAACAAATGATCAAAAGCAAACTTGCCCACTTCAACATCACCGTAAACAGAAGCCCCATGTAGCAGAGCACCCCAGACTTTAGCACTTGGTTGAATTGGCATTTCAGAAATGAATCGTGCTGCTTCCGAGAGCTTCCCAGCTCTACTAAGAACACCTACCATGCAACCATAGTGCTCCACCAAGGGTTGAATGCCACATTTTGAGAGCATAGAATTGAAGATATTCCAAGCTTCATCAACCAATCCAGAATGAGCACAAGCTGTCAATACAGAAGTTAATGTCACCAGATCAGGTCGAATTCCTTTATCCAGCATCTGAGCATAGAGACCAAGTGCCAAACTAGCATCACCACGAGCAGCATAAGCAGATATAATCGCTGTCCAAGTTATCAAACTCCTACCCCGTGATAGATCAAAAACCCGTCTAGCCCCACAAATATACCCCAACTTTGCATAAACATCAATAACGGAAGTTGCCACATACACATTTTGCTCATAACCTCTCCTGATAGCATAACCATGAAACTCTTTCCCGAGCATAGAGACCAAGTGCCAAACTAGCATCACCACGAGCAGCATAAGCAGATATAATCGCTGTCCAAGTTATCAAACTCCTACCCCGTGATAGATCAAAAACCCGTCTAGCCCCACAAATATACCCCAACTTTGCATAAACATCAATAACGGAAGTTGCCACATACACATTTTGCTCATAACCTCTCCTGATAGCATAACCATGAACCTCTTTCCCTCCTCGCAGGTTTGAGAAGTATGAAAACGAAGGAAGAACACCAGCAAGCGTGACAGCATTGGGACTCAAACCAGGACCCTGCATTTCCCGTACCAAATCAAGAACCCCTTCAAACTCCTTATTTTGAACCATACCAGAAATCACAGCATTCCACATATTCAATCCAGGGTTCTCCACCCCTCGAAAAATACCCACCGCTTCATCCACAAACCCGTGACCCATGTACCCCGAAATAATCGACCCATAAGTAACCTCATCCTTCTCACGCATTCCCTCAAACAACTCTCGCGCATAATCCAACCTACCACACTTGGCATACATAGCAATCACAGCGTTGGAAAGCGAAACATCAACCCCAATTCTACTCTCCTTCAGAAAACGGTGAAGCTCCATTCCAAATTCAAGGTCCATGGACTGTCCACACGCCTGCATCACGCTCACCGCGGTAACCGCATCGGGTGCAACACTCGACACATTCAACATCTCCAAGTACAACCTCTTACATTCATCGTAAAACCTCCTCTGAGAGTATCCACCAATCATCGCGTTCCACGTCACAATGTCTCTCCGCGACATTCCGTCGAACACGTGCCGCGCAAGTCCAACCTCGTCGCACCTGCAGTAGCACGTGATCAGCGCGTTGAGAACGAAAATATCAGAGTCAAAGCCTCGCCGAAGAATTAAACAGTGAAGCTCCTTCGTAAACTCGGGTGTAGAAAAAGACGAAGCGAACGCTTTCAAGACGCAGGATATGGTGAAGTTATCGGGGGAGGCGTTAGGGTTAGGGTTGGTGGAGGAAACGAGCGAAGCGAAGAGGTTGAGCGCGTGGCGGAACATGGCGTTGAAGGAGTAGCCAAGGAGCATGGCGTTCCATGTGAAGGTGTTTTTGTGGGGAGTGGCGTCGAACAGCTTGCGCGCTTCGCGCGCGTGGTTGGATTTGGAGTAGAAGAGGATGAGCTTGGAGGCGAGGAAGTTATCGGGTGTGACGGAGAGCAGGATGAGGCGAGCGTGGAGCTGCTTGCCCTGGCGGACGAGGCGGCGGTCGGAGCAGTGCTGAATGGCGGAGCCATAGGCGGTGAAGTCGAGTCCGGGGCGGGAGAGCCTTTGTCGGAGGTTGCAGTAAACGCGCGATTGTGCTTTAAATTGAAGGGTGGGAGCCACCAAGTTGCGGATCCTCATCATTTGTTTCGCAAGGCGATTTCGAAATTTGAATTCCCCCCGTTGCCTGTTGCGTTTATGCATCGTATCGTATTGATTCTATTGAACAACTATACAGAATAATATTAATTCGGGCTTGGTGGCAGGCCAACTTCCATTTTTTGTGGGCTTTTTTTATAAGGCTTTATAATTTGTTTTTGGGTTTAGTTAATCAGGTGAAAATTATTATATCATAATCTATACGAATATATTTTGATAATTATTTTTTTAATTTTTATTTTTTAGTAGATTATTATACTCTTAAATATATATATAAAAAATTCATATATTCTTTTTGAATAATTATTCATAACTTTTTAATATTTGTCTGTATAATTATTAGAGACACGAAAGTGCCTCGATCCCTTTAATAAAATATAATGATAATCATTTTGGATCTCTTTCCTATTTGATTATTACTAAAATTTTAGTAAATATCAAATAATTTTCTAAATGATAAAATTGAATGCAATAATTATTCTAGAACTCCTTCTTATTTGATTATTGTGAAAATTTAGCGTTAATTATGATAATCATTTAAGATCTTCTTTTTATTTGGTTATCAAAATAACTTTTAAAATAAAAATAATTACAATTATAAATATCAACTTAAAAATATATCTATTAAAGAATTATGTAAGTCTGATTTCCTCATTATATTTAATGATACTTAAGAATAAGGATTCACCTTTGTCAACTTAGAAAAAGAATTTTAAAATAATAGAATTCGTTTAATGTAAAATTTAAGAATGAAATAATATATACAAATAAAGGCTAAATAATTTTGTTTTTCAAAAGAGTAAAACAAATAATTTTAAAATAATATTAATTTTATACATTTAATTAAAGATAACCATTTTTAAAAAATATTATAAGATGTTAATACATTTTCTATACATAAATTACTCTCGATTCAAAATTTGTTTCCCTTCTTTTTCTTCAAGAATTTTTTTTTCAATATTTTTCTAAAAATAAATATTGGTGTAAATGTAATCTCAAATCCAAAATTTGTTTCCAAAACATATTTTCCTTCAAGAGATATTTTTTCAATATATTTTTTAAAAAATTATTGGTGGGACTTCACTTTATTTTAATTTTTGTTGTCCTACTACCGCAATTTTGGTTGCAATATGGTATATTCTTTTATCCACCATTTTACTAATTAAAAAAGACAAATTATTAAATCCGAACACATTTAATGTTATATATCTAACAGAAATTATTAGATAAATGGAATGATGAAAACCTCTATTAGTCAAAGCCTCAAACCAGAATACTCCCCATCATATATCAACGTGTCATTTTTATATTAAGATCATTAGCCACAATTACCGTCTACTCAGACTAATTCAGCTTTTACAATCACCGTCTAGTGTGTTTGATAAAGAAAAAAAGAAATAAAATACACATAAATAAAAAGTGAGTAAAAAAAATAAAAAAAAATAAAGTAAAAATATAATTATTTAATTGAAGAGAAATAAATAAAAAAATATATTTAAAAGAAATAAAGTATATATAAGAAAAAAGAGAGAGAAATAAATAAATAAATAAGATAGTAGAATTTTTTAAAAAATATTTAATATTTTTATTTTTTTTATCATACATCTTCAATTATTTTCACTCTTTCTATCTTATTTTTTTATCCATTTCTCCTATCTATTTAAAAATAATGACACACACACAGACACACAAACACACATACAGACACACACACACACGCACACACACCCAGAGACACACAGACACACACACATACACAGAGACACACACAGACACAGACACAGAGACACACACAGACACACACAGACACAGACACACACACAGAGACACACACACATACACACACACGCACACACACAGAGACACACAGACACAGACACACACATACACAGAGACACACACAGACACAAACACAGACACAGACACACACACAGACACACACACACAGAGACACACACACACATACACAGAGACACACACAGACACACACACACACACAAAAACACACACACACAGACACACACACAGACACCCAGACACACACACACACATACACAGAGACACACACAGACACACACACACACACACACACACACACATACACACACACACACACAGACACACACACACACACATACACAGAGACACACACAGACACACACACACACAAACACACACACACAGACACACACACACACACAGAGACACACACACACACAAACACACACGCACACACACACAGACACACACACACACATACACAGAGACACACACACAGATACACACACACACAGACACACTCACACACAGAGACACTCACAAAGACACACACACAGACACACACAGAGAGACACACACACACATACACAGAGACACACACAGACACAAACACAGACACACACACAGACACACACAGACACACACACAGAGACACACACATAGACACACACACAAAAAGACACACACAGGCACAGACACACACACGGACACACACACACACACACATATATAAGATGGGACAAATGGTCATATTAAAATGAGGAAACAAAGCGTTATCTATACTAATATATAAAAGAGATATCACTTTTAATAATTACTTTTTGTACTAGCCTAGCCAACTACCGAACTCGTCCTTAGGCAAGTCGCCAAGCTCAGTCGAAGACTTGTCGACCTGATCAAGCAGTGAACTCGTCATTGCCAAGTTTCCAAGCTCGGCCACATAGCATAGGCATAAAAAAGCCATATCCGTCCTAAGAGGCCACGTCATCAACAGGATAAAAATACAATCTCGTCATCGCACCGCAATCATAAGGTAAAACCCTAAAATTGTCAATATGCCGGTAGACGATAAAAACCCTAAAATTATCAAGGTACGCTTGCTATATATACGAGACATCTACACTATCAAGTACTAACTTAAGCATCAGAGTCTCTTTTGTAGGTACCACCCCCATCTTGGAGTGGTCAACCTATAAACCAGCGGAGGCTCACCAATCTCATCAGAGAGATGTCGCCACCGGCCCAAACGGGCCTCGGCGGTCGCGCAATACTCATTATCACAGCAGACGACATGGAGAAGCTGGCACAATAATACTCACTATCATAGCAAGCGACCTAGAGAGGCGACATAATAATACTTAGCATCATAGCAAACAGCCTGGAGAGGCTGACACAATAATACTCATCATCCCAAGCAGGCGAACTGGAGAGGCCGACATAATAATACTCAACATCCCAAGTAGCACGTTTGGAGAGGCATCATAATACTCACTTGGCGAGAGGAACACAAAATTCTCGCCACATACACATCCTCAAGGAAGAAACCTGGAGAGTTATCACAATACTTACACGGCAGGAACAACACCATAATCCCTGCCGCCTATCTCATTCCCTAATGAAGATGCTTGGAAAGGCACTACAATACTCACCTAGCGGGGCATCACACATCCCGTTAGCCTTAGCAAATAAAAAATAGAAGGCATCAGAAGCATTCCCCTACTTGTCAACCCAAGGGACATCCCATAACACCAAGGAGAGGACACCGTCAAGTTCCTCAAACACAAGAGCAGAAAAGGTTGTTAGATCCTCAAAACTAGCATAAGAGCATAAAAGGTTGCTAGACCCTCAAAACTAGCACAAGAGCAAAAAAGGTTGCTAGACTCTTAAAACTAGTACAAGAGCAGGAAAGGTTGCTAGATCCTCAAAACTAGTACAAGAGCATAAAAGGTTGTTAGACCCCCAAAACTAGTACAAGAGCAGAAAAGGTTGCTAGACCCTCAAAACTAGTACAAGAGTAGAAAGGGTTGCTAGACCCCCAAAACTAGCACACGACTTAGAATGGGCTGGTTGAAGCCTCAAATATTAGTCTAGCCTGGAGAGACTAAGCTCAGAACATACTCCCTCATCAGTGAGCTACGAATAAAGATTACACTACTATAAGACAAGCAGAAGTAGCAAGAAGCATCTACTCGAAGCCAGAGGCCTAGATGGCATATTTTACCACCCGTGACACTTGACAAAGCATACAACCCAACACTCAGTTGCTTTAAGGGGCAAGGATATAGGTAAACACCATCTACCCAAAGGAAACAACGTGGAGGCATCTACTGTCAAAGAAAGAGAGAAGACCTGAACGAAATGTCTACATCTTTACTTGCCTTTGGAAAAGCAAACATCTAGCTATCCCAAAGGACAAGTAAAGAGAGGTATCTGTAGACACCTAATTTTGTTCAGACCTGTAAATAAAGAAATGATGAGATTTTCAATTGAAGGTCGTAAGATTAGAATTTTTTAGATTATGAGAGTGCGTACTTATCATTAATCTTAATTAGGATAGGATAGGCCAAATAGTGAGAGAGGGGGGCTCGGCCTTTCTCACGACCGAGTACGTGTTCGGGTTATGTAGTGGCCGAAAGATACATGGGGTATATTCTCCAAGTAGCTCTTAGAGGGCGATTTATGATAGATGACCAAGATATTATGACACATTGACTTCCACCTCTTCAAAATTTGGAAAGAATGATTACCCAAAAATGGTGCGACCAGTAAATGATTTAATCACACACTTCAATAAAACCTTTCTAGCTTTGTCACTCTCGCAAGTGCTCAAACCTTAAGGGTCTTATGTCTTGCTCGACCTGACAACAACTCAAACAATCCAATCAAAGAACATAATTATAACTCCTTCACCTTCGCAAAATTTGAAGCTCAAGGGGCTTATGTACTACCAATAAGATTAGACCGAGCTGTTCAACTAAGTCGTCCAAACAAATTAGATGGGCTGTGGTTATGAGAATAATAGGGCCATTATCACATATCTTTATATGTTACCATATTAGTATTTCTCTAATAACCACTATCTATTATCTTGGATTTGCACCATGTGAACTTTTTTATCTACTTAATAGTTATCAAGTAACCAATCTATTTTATTTTGTTGGTTTTCTGGTTGTTACAAAAAGATATAACTAGTTATATATGTCTTTCCAAAAGATATTCTCACTTATGGATAAAATTTAATCACCTGTATAAGGGGTACATGTA